CTCAAGACCGGAGCTCTAGTACCAGCTTTGTAATGCCAAGCACAATGCTCTGGTCTGAAAGGAATCACCAGACGGGACTGAAAACATTGGCACCAAATCTAGAATTTTTCAAACTCTTCTTACTTTTTAATCAAGTTTCTGTCTTTCTGCATAAATTATATATCCCTAGTTTTGTCATGAAGAGTCTTCCTAGAATACAGCAGTTTGTTTTCTATACTCCTTAATAAGAGGCAAAATTGCTTGCTTAAAACAGTATGCAGATGTTCTTGGCTGTGATTATGGGGATCGGCTGAAAGACAAAGATGAAGAGCTGTGTTCAAATAGCAACAAATGGTGATAAGGCATCTGTCAAACATATTTGTGACCACTTCCAGTAAAAAGCAATTTGGTAGTATATAAAATAAGCAAACAACTAGGAGCCACCCAGGCTCCTTATAAATGATTTCTTCTCTATGAAAAGGCTGATGTGCAAGAACTTGACACCTGCCATTTGGCCAAGTGGCAACACTATCAGGTAATTTTACAAGCAAAACTAGAGATCATTCTGTCGTTGCCCTACACAGTCAATAGCCTGGCTACTTCATATGCTACTGTCAAAAATTCCTGCAATTTCCTAAGTAGAAAGTACTTCACTAATATATCTCATCTAACTATAGGAGACAATGACCATTATAGCTTCTTTTCTGCTTCCTCCTCCATGCCAAAAAGAGATATGTGTTGTATTAAGAGTAAATTCTGTCTTAACAACTATTAAGTAATAGGATCAAAATCTTAATAGCATTATATCCCATGTTTGGAAATAACTTAGGCTCTTAGATGCTGTGAAATTCACACTGAAATGTGAAATACAGCTTCTAAATGTCCAGACCAGTTCCAGAAAAGATACAGAAAATGGATCTTATGCACCAACCTCACCTAAATGATTTAAGTGTATTTTCCTATGCAAAACTCTTATCTAGTATTAAACAATTCACTCAGTGGGGAAGGACAAGGTATTTTTTCTCCTTTTTTTCCCCTCATGACTGAAATATTTTTTTCCCAGAGACATGCTGTATTGAAAATATTGTTCTCACCATGATGAAGTTGATATTAAGAAAATTATCTTTTTCATTGTGTGATTATGATTTCTGTCACTTTCACCTCAATCTTTGAATAATCAGTTATATTTTTATTTACATGTTGATCAATGAAGTTATTGAAAATTATTATCCTCACAAGGGAATGCTGGTTTTTTCCCATCCCTACTAAGTAACCTGCATGTATCTGTGTGTAAAACTGAAGTAATACTATTCCTGTTTGTTTACTTGAGAAGCAGATGATGCATTAAATTATTCTTTGTACTTTTTAAAAGAATTCTGTAGAAGACCAGTGTCTAGTTTCCTACCTCTAATCCTAAACCAGCTTGTCAACCTGGCAAGTGATTTGTCTGTGACTGTTCCAAAGCAGAAAGGAGAAAAGATGAAAATATTGTAGTTTCCCAAGCCAGCGCGAGCCCCAGGAGGCCGCATGTTCTGTTTGATGTATCCAAGGAAAGGTCAGACTTCTGCGCCAGTACAAACCAAATGGGAAATCTCCAGTGGTAAGTCAGAGGCTGTTCGTGAGCAGGACAGGTTGTTCCTGTGAATCTGGTTGTGCCAGGTTCTCTGCAATGTTCTTCTCCATAACCAAGGCTGGCAGTTATTAGATTGCTGTACCATAAATTCAAGGTCTGATGTAATTGTTCCTCTCGAAAACACAGGTATACATTCATACACTAGCTCTGCAAGCCAAATGTGAGAGTATTAGCAAAGAGTTGGGAAGCTTGTGGTAAGTTGAGGAGGGAGAGAGAAAATAAAGAAAAATAAAAGAGGTAGTAGAAAGCATAGGTAGTTTCACAGGAGGCGATAGACAGCCTTTTCCATCTAACTTTCCCTAATGCCTTGCAAACAAATTGTTCGTATACGCATAAAGCTCTTCTCAAAAGGCCTGTCTTTGGGGAGAATTCAATATTCCTATATGTGAAGTTATATTTTGGATCCAAGTTACCTATTTTCATATTTTTAAACAGAAATTTTGTCTCATACTTTCAGGTGGTACAAATCCTCATAGCTCCTCAAACCCGTTTGAAATATAAGAGGATCTGCTAAGGTTCTATTCATTTTTAATGTGCTGTTACTGGCTGCAATTTTAAAATGTTTGTGTCAACTTTTCTAATTCTCATGGTCTTATACACAATCCTGAGGGTTACTCTTGAGTGGGTGATGATCATACAGATTCACACAAGCATGCAAATCCTCTCTGTGGGTTTGGGACCTGAAGATATCACCTTCCAGTGCTGAAAGGTGATTCTGTCCCTTTCTTTAAGTGATCCGTGGGGAAAGTCCAAAAAGCAAACCCCACTCAAAAAAGGGGGGGAAAAAAAAAAGAAAGTTCTATCCTCTAGGATCGCAGGTATTCTTACCCTGTGTTGGAGGTGAAATTCTAGAGAAACAGTGTGAGAAGTTTAACACATACCCCAGCAATCCTTCACAGTTCTATTCCTTCCTCCCGAGTGGTTGCGTTCTCTCTGCCAGTGATGCTCTTCTAAATATCTCAATTTGTTTTCCTTCTAGCAGTCCTCTTGACACTCAGAGTTGCCCCTTTCGTTCTCCCTCATTAATACAACACTTTGATTCCACTCTTATGACATTTTGCAGGTGGATTTTAAGATTGGTGATGTGTCAGGACTCATTGACAGACTGAAAATTTGTCTCATTCAGTGAAATGTTGCAATTTTCTCTTTAATTTTATGATTTAACCTTACCATAACCACTTGCCTGTGGAGTTGAGGTGAACAATGTTACATCTTCCACAATTAACTAGTCTCAATGTATTAATTCAGCATTATAGAATGTCAAAAGTCACTATGACAAGGTAAAAGCCATCCTCAAATATAAAGTCAGACATATTATTATGGAGGTTAGTATCTCTCCTTTCAGTGCTGGGTTTTCCTAAAATGTACATAAAATTTAGCATGGCATTTAGACTGTCTCTATCTGCTAACCCTTTGAGGAAGATATCACAGTACTATTTATTACAATGAGGGTATTAACTTTGTATTTTATTATATTGATATACATGATTTCCTAATAAGCTTCCCTTTTTTCTGTAAGCCTGTCCATTTTAACGAAGAAAATACATGTTTCTGCAGTTTTTGATGGAGAACAAAATATTGGGTTATCAGATGCCTTATTGGTAAGCTGGAAATGAATTAAAAAAAAAAAAAAAAACAAAACAAAAAAAAAAGATTTCTGGAATTGTGGAATCAAAAGTTTGATCACTCCAAGTTTTGTTACTTTAAATTGAGTGAATGAACTTATGTATATTTAAACAAAAAGTGCTGTGTATGAAGACCATAAGGAGCTTTGCTTCTGGTAATTTTTTTCATTATTTTTTTAAAGATTACTTATCACAGGAATCCTATCAAAGTTCAAACTACAATGAAGAAAATTTCCAGTTAAGTACTATAATATCAATCTGTGAAGAACCTTCAAATATTTACAAAGACACTTTTGCATTCAAGTTTTCGTAATAAGATAGAAATTGAGTGCACCACCATCTGAAGACCACTTTTCAAGAGAAGACTTCAAAATTACGTCTAACTTCTGTTTGTTCGTACCTTTGTGAACCATGCATTGACTTAGGCTAGAATAAATTCTGTCAAGGCTAGATAGAAATAGCAATAATAGCATCTGATCTCTGCAAGTTGGTTTTCGTTTGACATGCAGTTGCCAAAATTCCAACTGCAAATCAGAAGGCTACATATTTATGAGAACTAGTCTTCATAAATCTCGAATTTTATCATGTTTGAAGCTTCCTTCTAAATCAGAACTGTAAACTTCTAAGTGAAACTTGTAAATCAGTTTTATCACTGTCTACGTGTGCATATGTATGATATATAAATACACTTCAAATTCCAAATTGAGCTTGTAAGTAGGTCTGATAAGTTTTTCAACTTCAGATTTCATCTCTTTCTAGGAGGTGGGAGGGGAATCATGAGAGTGTTATGGCTGGTATCATGCATGAATATGCATTTCATATGTTGTGCATGCAGTACTGCACACTTTCCTTACTGCAATGGAATTATTAGTCCTTACAACAGTAAATAATTCTTTAGAAAATTATCCAATTGCTTAAATCTACAATTTTAATACAATACAACCAAATTATGATTCACTGCAACAGTAATCAGCTGCAAATTTCCAGTTCCATACTAAAGATGCAATGATATAAACCTGAAGAAATGCGGACTGGAGGCTTATTTGCTTGTCTTTCTAAGACAACACAGAATACCTCAGTTAAAAAATAGTGTCGTCCTCTAAAACTATAGTAGAGACAGCACTTACTGGGCCCTCTACTGTTCCAGGTACTTGTAGCACTGATTCTAACTAGTAATAGTTTGCCATGATAATAAAATGATTGTCTGCATATTCTGTAAATTACATTCATTCTGAAAATAGAGTGAACTGTTTTCGGATTTATTTTCTGTGTAAGGAATAGTTTCTTCATCAAAGCTACAGATAATTATCTGTAGAATAACTGGTGACTTTAGGCACCAATCGAATCAAGGGATAGCATTCTTTGAGTTCTCTGTCAGGTCCAAAGCATCCAAAACACTACTGAAAATAAAGGATGCATTTCTGTCTTAATATAATTTGCATATTATGAAATACTAAAACTGTGAACAGGGAGGAAAGATGTCAAATGATTTTTAATGCTTTTTCATTTTATGTAGTTGCTTCGTAAGCTGCTAGCAAAGCATTCTGTTTTGCCTGTCAGTAACCTTCCGAGATCTTTGTAATGCAGTTTTACACACTTTACACATATTTTTCCTCAAGTTTTTACACTTGTTTATGAAGCTATCTGAAAGTGTATCCCTATTATCATACAGGCTTATCTTAAGTTGTAGCACACCTAAAATTAATTAATTAAGCAAATTAATTGGTAATAATAAGCTCTTTTCAGCTGCACACTCATTTTCAAATGAATTTATTGAAGTAAAGGATTTACAGCATATGGACTCACAGACTTCTCATGAATTAAACTGGCATCCATATGTACAGCTTTCAGTAGAGAACTCTAGAGTAATATTTACAATGTAAATATCAACTTTTATTACATAAGAAACAAATATATCACAACTTTCACTTCACAACGTATTTGTTCTGGTTTGATGACTAAAGTCATCTCTTTGAAATACTATGTGGAACTCAAAAATAGCTTGTTCTTGTCATAGACTTTATCAGGTGTCCTTCAAAGGTCCTGAAAAGCAAAGAAGAAATACATTTTAAAAGTAATTTTTGTAAGCGGTTGCATCATGAGGTGTATAAAAGCAGGCAGTGGAAAAGAAGTGGCACTTGCTATAAAACAATTGCTGCTCTTGGTGGGCATGAGACAGAGCTATTCACAGGAGCTTGGTGGGCATTACAGCAAGCAGGCAAGGCTGGAGGATGAGGAAGAAAGGTTGAAGGATTAGGCAAACGTGACTGCACACTGGCCTACAGCGCAGATAGCTCACTTTGAAAACAACCGTATCCTTTACATGAATTCATGTTACTTGATACAGACTACATCAGCAACTGTGCACTGTGATAAAATGACGAGTAACAGTCAATACCGAGTATGCAATTCACCTATAGAGTGATGATCACTCTGGATCATCAGTACAGTCCACAAAAAAAGGAAAGGACTGATAATATCTCCAGGAAGACACGCATGACCCACTGCACCACTCTCTGTCTCATTTAATCAATGCCTGAAGTTTTAGAAGGTATAAAATCCGGGAGCATATATTTTTACAATAATCTTGTCTAGAGACATTTCTTTCCTGAATTCCATCACTTACAAATTGCTTTGTTCCTTGACAAACAAAGCAGTTTATGTCCTTTCTAATCTTTGGGAACTTTACAGAAACTGTCACATTTGTGGAAAGGAAAAGAATGTTTTCTTACAGTCTTGAAAGGAAACAACAGTTTGGAGAAATGTCTTTTCTTTTATGCCACGCACCCCACCAAAAAATGTTATCTTTAAGAATAACCTTTTGCCTTACTTGCAGCTGAGACACAGGTGAATGCCAAAAAGCATCCTGTCATCAATGTCATAATATACTTTTGAGAATACCAAGACCAATTCACTTCTACATTACCATTTCAATTTTATATCCCTGCAATTGCCATGATGTAGAAGGGTTTACATTTCAGTAGGGTTTACAATTCAGTAAACCAAATGAGTTTAGAAAAATTAGCAGTAGCTAAACAGAAAAGAATAACTGTAATATTTGCATGTCAGACAATCCCGCTGCAGCACACCTTAGATGGGACTCAAGTGCTTTTTTAATGCTAAGGTTCCATGTTGCTGATCTGCTTAGTTCTAAGGGCAACTATCTTCTAATGAAACAGATGTTAAAATGTGCAACTATTTTTTTAATTATTATTAAAACAAATATCCTTGAGTTTGTTCTCTGAAGAAATAATCAGCTTTATAATTAAAAATGAGTCAATTCTGGTTTAATGATGCAGTGCACACAAGATGAAAAACCCAAGTGAGTTAGGTACATTATTAACAGTGCCATTTAATTAGGAATTTTCAATAACAGGAATCATGGGATAACTTAATTAGTGTTATTAAAATTATTATTATATTCAGATGCAATCCCTATAGAAACATGCAGCATTTCGTGGAACATGGCTCTTTCCTAGATGATTTTGCTTTTCTGATAGGCCATGCTTCGTGTATGATTAATCTCATTTTATGGGTTGGGTCAAGTCAAGTAACAGGTAACAAGAGGAAAGAAAATCTGGGCATACCAGTGGGAGGTGGCTCAGCAGCTCATCTACAGAATCATAGTTTTCTGAAAAGGAAGGTTCTGCATCATCTCGAAGTTTAGCAGGGTTTAGCTCTTCCTGGCTGTTATGGATCAGAAACAAATTCTATTGCTCTCAGAAGAAAAAGAAAAAAGCAAGCAAAGCCTTCTTCTAACTGTGGCTATTGCACATTTTGTTACACTTATACCAAAGTATAAATCCCATGAAATAGCATGTTTAATGGGTGAAGAGGCATCATATTTAAAAACAGTTGTCTAAGTGAGTGCATATACAAAACATAAGCTCTACAAAAACATTTGCTGGCACTTCTCACCTGTACTGATTAGACATATGGTCTTTCTGGGACTTGTAAATGTTCATTTCATCTGTTTACTTAAAGCAAAATTTTAAACAAATCGTGTGTTTTCTTTACAAAATCATTGTTCACGTTCCATAGCTCTGTGGATTTTTTCCTTAAGAGACCTTTCAATAAATAAAACAATTTTAAGAATCTGTCAAAGGTTTTTTACAATGGCCACATGCTGTCTCCTCTTTATTATTTTATTCTAATCTGATTGTAGTGTCCATCCCAGTCTGGAAGAAAATACAGTCTGTATTCTAAAACCATGTTATAAACTACATTATGAAGTCATTTTGTTTTGTTTTGTTTGTTCTCTCTGTATACATCCATGGGTATAAATCTTTTCTGTCTTAATACTATACAAGTGTGGAAACAATATATCTTTGCTTTCTTGAAGTACCTTCTTTTTCCAGTTAAAACTGAGTTTAAGTATTTCTTCACAGCCATTTGCTTTCGAAAGCGGCTGTAGTTGTCAGTGAAGACAGCGTCAGAGTGGCGTTTGACAGGGCTGTCCTGGGAGCTGGCAAAACAGCAATTACAACGAAAAAATTAATAGAGGGTGTCAGTTCAAAAGAAGATACCATTAAATGAGTGAAACAAACTTTACAAGTTTGATTAGCCAAATAAAATCAAATTCTCATTTCAGCTTTCATTTCCAGCTATGACTTTGGATGTTTCCTTTGTTGAAAAGAAGCCACTGCTTCTATCACGTACTGTGTATTTTAGTAACAGGGACCAAATGCTAAGGATGCGCATTCAGTCTTTTGGGCACACCTGCCACTGATTTCTTTCTCTTGCTCAACTTTGCCATGGCCATGCAATTAGGATCCATACTCAATGATTTCTAGATTCCTTGTCCAAGGAATTCTGCAGGATCAAATGCCTTAGTGTGGATTTCATGACTCCCTCTGGTCCGTTCTCATAGCCCTTCTTCCTCCTTTTAATAAACTGACCTTATTCTGATTTCCAGAACTTGCATAAATATATTTTAGAACAATGCCAAGGTACAGACTGGTTTAAGCCACACTAAGTTCTTAAAGGACCTGGTCACTGTCCATACAAAACTCAGTGAGGATGGAGCTTGCCTCTGAGGAAAGTAAGAGTATAGCATCACATACACAGCTACAAATGCTTGTTTTAAGGAGGTATCAGGAGGCAAAACACACCTTGTGAAATCCAGACTTGGAGACCTATTTTTCACACACAACCTTGGGAAGCCTCAGTGTGTTCTGCTTTCAGTGACCTATGTTAGTTTATAACGTATGAGAAACTGGCACTATATGTTCTGGAACAAAGGCAGCATTGACATAAATGCAGGAACTAATTTTCACTCAGCTTTTGAGCATATAAAGTAGATGCTCAAAGGAACTGCCATATCAGGTCAGACAAAAGTAGTTTACTATTCCATTGCCAAGAGAACCCAGTAGCTGCTGCTTAGGGATATGAAGCAAAGGGAAGTATACAGTGATCCTTCCCAGAATCCTGTGACCATTAGTTTATGAACATATTGGTCTCGAAGTTGCATCCAGATCCCTTGTCTATGGATTTGCCTCATTCCTTTTCAAATCCTTTTATAATATAAGTCTCCCAAACATCTGGCAGTGTGTTCTACAGTAGGGAAAAAAAATCATTCCCTTTTGTTTTCACTGTAAACCGATCGTTTCTTAATTTCATTGAGCATTCCTCTGTTGTTATGTAAGTACTGAGTAATCAATCATTTTGCATTTACTTTTGCCATTCATCCACCAAGCTAGCAAAAACACTAACAGAGAATAAAATTAGCAAATTGATGTGACAATCATTATAATATTGCCAGTATTTGTTATCAATGTTATGTGCAATGTCGGTTGCTCTACCCCTCACAGCTGTATCAGGAATAAATAGTAATGTATTCATTTAGTAACAAATACCACTAAGTTGTTATATAGGATTTCCAGCTCCCCCATCATTATATCAGCTTCTCTTTCATTATCTCTAAATAACAAAAATGAGAACTTACATACAGAAGGGTAAAAAATTGTCAATGTAGCCAGCTAGGAAAAAACTCTACCTAAGGTAAGTGTCACCTCACCTAACTCGTTTTCTAATAAGCGAATGCAGATATCTCTTCACAGCAAGTTTAGCCAAAAGATGGCTGTAGACGCTGGTGAAAATTCCATCAGCATGCCTTGCATTTCTGAAATGGACAATAAATAAACTCTACAATACAACCTGGCTTCATATAATTTTGATAACGTTAAATTTTGTAAACATACTGCTTTTCTTATCTATTGTACATTATTAAATTAAGCTGATTTCATAAAACAACTTCCAGATTTTCACAGTATACCTTTTAGCCCTTCCTGAGAAGTGAACAAAGTCATCACACCAGAATAGCAATGCAATCAAAATTTTTCTGCAGACGTTCCTGCTGCTGCCAGTATTCAACCAGAGGCCACGTGGTTTGTTTTTTTTTTTTCCATAATTGATTCGTCCTTTCCTATTTCTCAGTTTGAAAATGTGACAGATCTTTTGGCATAATTCAAGTAGTGCACCATCATTTGTATTTATGATAATAAAGAAACTCACCTATCAATAATTCTGGACAGATCAAAATAGAATTTCTCATTGTCAGGTAGTGTGTTCTGCAAAATGTCTGATTCAGACTTTAAAGACCCGCGGGTATGGTCAGGTTCACTGGCTCCATCAAATGGCATTCTGTTTCCCAATCTGTTGGAGAAGGAAACCATGTGTGAAATAGTTAGCTGAGGACATGCAACACTTTGCTGCAGCTTACCTCCTGGTTTGTGTCAAGATGCACATCTACCTACTTTAATCTGTAAGGCATTTTAAAGTAGTCTGGATAAAACAAAAATCACCTTCAGGTATAATCCATACTGAGCCATAGAGTAATCAACATAACTGATCCTTCTCTCTAACGCATGTTTTCTAGATATATGTTGTCAGTGCACACAATTTATTCAAGTTAGCAGTGCATAATGTATGGCAATTACAGCTCAAGTGACAACTGCGAAGCTTTCCATAACAAGTATATTTTATATGAACGATGGCTGGATTTACCAGCCTCCACCCATGCGAAGTGCAAACAGTTCCTGTGAAGTACTTACCTTCCAACTAAGACTTAAAATGTGCATTGAAATGCGGTATGAAAAAGTTCTTAGGCCTTCTCTAAAGAAAGTAAATACACCCTCAAGAACTTCCAACTAAATGCAAAGTGCAGTCATGTATCTCCACGTGTTTTTATTCTCCCATGTTTACATTAACTGGCTAGTTGCAAGTTGAGGAAAGGTTCACGTTTAATCTTTCAAAATTAGGGCAATTGCTCTGTATGAACCGATTCGCAGTTGCTTCACGTTTTTGTAAACTGCTGTTTCTTATGACGTGTGGTATTTTACCAAGGGCAGTCTGACTGCACAGCAGTAGCTGGGCATCAGACGTTTCTCTTAGCTGCTCTTCCGGCCGGTGGCAGACAACAGGCTCCCACCGCAATGGTAAACCCCTGCGTGTGACGATGTGCAAAAACCACACACTGAAAGTACGATGGGCTATTGTCCTTGCGATTTTACAGTCATTGTAACTATTAGCAGTACTTCTATATCTGAGATTTCTGTCTGGAACAAAAAGTAATGTTATTGTGTGCAATAAAACCAACTCAAGTCACACCTTTTGAAAATCAGTCACTACCCTGTTCTGCCACACCGTTTTTCATTGGTCTTTTCACACTTTATGTTCCTCTTACCTAAAAATGTACCTTTCTGCCATCTGATTTAATTGAGTTTAAATTAAACAATTTAATTCCAAAAGTTTGCCGCAGTGCAAACCCCACGCATCAGTCCATACGGACCACGTCCCCTCATTCACGATTCCAGAACTTCGGGTATGTTCGATTTTGCCAGTGCACATCTCAACTTTTGAAAAGATGTATCCACCTAGCTGAAGTCCGGAGGTAAAGCTCTCCCACACGGAAAGCCGAGACTGTTTCGACGGCCACGCATCATGTTGCGGGGCACGTTTTAACGCACACCCTCCACGCCACTGACATCGGCAGCGGTGGCCGTGGGGCAGCAGCGATGCCGGTGCCTCGGGAGGTGCGTGCGTGTCTCGGGGGTCTCCTGCAGGGCAGCTGCGGGAGCACCGGCTGGGCTCGCCCACCCCTGCTCGGC